GGGCCCTTCGCCCAGGCCTCGGCCGCGGCGACCCGTCTCTCACCGAGGACGCGGACGACCGGCGCCGAGAATGAGGGAGGTGTGCGGCCGGGCCCCTCGCGGCTCCGGGACGCTACGCTGGTGGTGGCGGCGGCGGCGGTTCCTCGCGCTTTCCTTTCTCTCCTTTCTCGAACAACAAACAGGAAGTGCGTCACGCGGCGGCGGCGCAGCGACGTCAACTTCCGCCCGGCCCTGACGCCGTACATGCGCACACGCCGCCGCCCGTGCCGCGAGTCGGACTCGTTCTCGCCCCGCCCCGGCCTTCGCGAAGGTTCTGGAGGGCTCGGGAGGCTGGGCCTTCCTGGGCTGAGGACCGGTTCTTCGGTGGGCCGCTAGGCTCCGCGCCGCGCCGTCCCGGTGTACTCCGGACGGGAGCGGGTCCCGGGGCTCCTGTGCGCGGGCGTCTGTGACCCCGCCCGCTCCAGGCCGTCGCTGCCCTCTTCCCGCCGCCTGGGCCTCGGGTCGCGCGTGGGGCACCTCGCAGCCTTGTCCGCCGGGGCCGAGGCAGCGCCTTGGGCAGATTGCTGTCACGGGGAAGCCCGGGAGAGCCTAATGCGGCGGCGGGGCGGGGTGTCACCATGACGACCAGGAAAACATTAAATCCTCCTTACAGGAAAGGGAGCCAGCCACTGTCACAGGAGGACGCCCGAGGCTTTACCCTCCCCCAGCCGCCACCCTGGGGACCCAAGCTTTACCCTCCCCCAGATCCCGCCCTGGGGACCCAAGCTTTACCCTCCCCCCAACTCCCGCCCTGGAGACCCAAGCTTTACCCTCCCCCCACCTCCCGCCCTGGGGACCCAAGCTTTACCCTGCCGCAGCCGCCACCCTGGGGACCCAAGCTTTACTCTCCCCCTAAATTTCCACGTGCCCTGCCCCTTCCTACATAAGGAGGGACACAAAGAAAGGATTAATACTCTCACCAGCCGGACTCTTGGCTGGAGAGGGCCACAATAGTGAAAGCCAACTATTGACGAGCATTTGTAGCTCTGAATCACCCAGACGCATCTTCCCTAAAAGACTGTGCAGGCCTCCTTATCACCTGCTTATCAAAGGTATGGCCTTCCTTAGCCACAGGAAAATGGGCCTGTCAAGACTTCAACCTTGAACATAACTTTTTTTTTTTTTTTTGAGACAGGGCCTTACTATGTAGTTCAGGCTGACCTTGAGCTCACTTTGTAACCCAGGTTGGTCTCAAACTCGAAAGGATCCTCCTGCCTCAGCCTCCCGAGTGCTGGGATTACAGGCATGCGCCACCATGCCCTGCAAAAGTAACATTTTAAACACTAAAACAGGTGCTCCCGAAAGTATTTCCGTAATCACACTGGCTGCCTAGACCTTTTTTCCAGACCCTTAAGCCCTTAGAACCCTAACCTCGCATCCTGACCCTGCAGGATTCCCCTCTGGGAAACCCGCAGCCCTTGGCCTCACACCTGTACTGCAGGCGGTGGGTGTGGTGCAGACAGCAGGAAGCTGGAGGGGCCCTGGGCCCAAGAGGGAGTCAGGACGACCAGCCTTGGTCAGATAAGCAGGTCGCTGAGCCAAGCGGTAACAAGAAGCAGCTGGACATTATTAAGTCTAGGGATGTGGAACAACTTCTGCCGCAGTATATCTGGAAAATGCTTTTTCCAGGTCAGGGAGATGGCTCAGCGGCTCAGTCCCTGCCTGACAAGCAGAAGGTCCTGAGTTTGATTCCCAGTACCAAAAAAAAAAAAAAAAAAAAAAAGAGAAAATGCTTTTTCCTTCTGACTTTGTTCTTTGAACGAAGCACTTGGGTAGGATAGAGGCCAAGAGGACCTGCAGACATACACTTGCTATGTGTCTCAACTCCTCATAGGCCCATTGCTAGCTTCAATAAGCTTGTTTGAGTCCTATAAGTTGAATTTACAGATGGCACTGAATCAAAACAAAATCAAAAAACAAAAAACAGTGGTCTGAGCTCTGGTGATTTTGGTGGAACTCGGGATGGTGGTGATGCCTCTAATCCCAGTACTGTGGAGGCTGAGGCAAGAGGATCCCTGTGAGTTGAAGACCAGCCTGGGCTGCATAGTGAGTTTATTGTATATACGTGCTGCTGAAGCAAGCACATACATGGTTTAAAGCCAGCCTGAACTATGTATCCAGACTCTGGCTCAAAAACAGAAAAAGCAGTAGGCCAAGAGTCCCCCTGGCAAGCCACTTTCTAGTCCCCTCTCAACTAGTGGGGTTATTCTCGCTTCTTGGTTTTTTCCTTTTTGGTACCAGGAATCAAACTCAGGACCTTGTGCTTGCCAGGCAGGTGCTTGTGCTGCTGCGCTATATCTCTGGCCCTATTTCTCACTTCTTTTTTTGTTTTTGGTACCGGGAATCAAACTCAGGACCTTGCACTTGCCAGGCAGGCGCTTGTGCTGCTGCGCTATATCTCTGGCCCTTTTTTGTCTTTTTTAGTCAGGGTCTTGCTATGTGATTCATGCTGGCCTTGAGCTCACTTTGTAGCCCAGGCTGGTCTCCAATTTGCAATGATCCTCCTGCCTCAGCCTCCCAAGTGCTGGGATTATAGGTGTGGGCTACCATGCCCTGGCTGGTTTGGTTTTTTGTTT